GATTGGCTGGCTATAGGGGTGGAGGAGGCCAGATTTTTTTTTTTTATTTTTGTGACACTAAACAATATCCCTATTATTCAGAAACAAAAAAAACACATTCGCCAGTTACTGTCCCTGTAATCTATTTTTCAGGAAATCATTTCTTACTGTGTTTTTCTACTTCCTTATAACATCCTCCATGAGATTCCACACCTTCCCTCCAACTTCTATTTGAAAATGAAACTCCTTGTGACATCCTACATTAACTCCCAAACCTCTCCTTTTCCCCACTTCTCTTTATTTGAAAACAGCAATGAATATTAGTTGTAGCCATGTACACACTGCTCTATACACATTGCACGCCCCATCACCCATCGCCCAGGGCCCATATCAGGAAGTTGGATCACAAATTAAAAAAAGTAAAAATGGAGATTTGGAGGGACTGAGAGCACTAATGACTTTTTTTTGGCTTAAGAACACATATTTGAATTGGATATATTTTTTCAACCAGAGTTTAGTGTCACTTCTTTAACATCTTACTAAAAAGGAGAGGATTGGTCGGCTGTAAAGGGAAGGAGGAGGCCGGATTTTTTTGTGACACTAAACAATATCCTTATCATTCAGAAAAAATCCAATACGCATCCTCTAGTTCATAAAACATACAGTGCCGCACTTTCTTTTAGTATGTAATAGCAAACAAATTATGTTATAAAACAGTGAACATATGTGAAAAAAGAAAAAGTGAACCAATATGAAAAAAAGTCTCCAAGTATAATGTTTTTCTTCAACTTGAAACAAACTTCACAATTTCATATCTTCATGCAATATCAATCCTCCACCACAAACGCCAGATGTGCCCTCAACAGGATTTTTCACCTCACATATAGTTTGGTCAAAAACTATGTGTCCCTCGAGGTGGACATAAATGGTCAGATGTATCCTGAAAATGGAACCTTCCTCCAAAGATCACCGATCCCTTTAATCTTTCCTCCTCCATTCAGCATACATGATAAAAAAACAAGTAAAACACAATAGTGCTTTATCCTTTAAAACACATTACTTTATTAAAAGCATAACAAAGGAAACTTGTCCTTACAACCACATTGTTACATTTGAGGAGTGGAGTTTCCTTTGCTTGCTCATACAAGAGTATTGCAGGTTTTAAATGCGCATATATCTGGTGCGATCTAGCACCTGTACCATGTGACTAGCCAGTTTTTATGCTTTTAATAAAGTAATGTGTTTTAAAGTATGAATAAAGTGTGTTGACACAGAGCACTGTTTTTTATAGGGTATATCTCTGTATTAGGGAGCTTAATATTAGTCATGTCCACCATATGCACAATATCGTGTGATGTTGCACTGTTTTAGCATTCATTCTCATTAAGATTCACGGTTTGTTCCACCATTATATCACATGTTGTTTATGTTGAGACTTAGTTTGTTTTTTACCAGAGCGCTACACTTATTGATTGTTATATTTTGGTTTTTCACTTTAGGTAATATTATTTTTAGTTTAGTAGGATTGAGCGCAGGAGGTTTTCCCCAATCCTTCATGAGCTCCCACACCTATGCTTTTCCTCCTCACCGGTTTCTTGGAAACAAGCATGCACACTAGTTGCGATCATGTGCATTGTTCTATGCACACTGCAAATCCCATAGCCCATCTCAGGAGTGTCACTTTAACATCTCGCAAGGAAGGAGCGTGATTGGCCGGCTATAAGGAGGGGAGGAGCCTGTTTTTTTTGTGACACTAAATGATACCTTTATTTTGCACAAAAAAAAAATATATATATATATATAGATTAAACATCCACTAGTTAATGCTCCCATAATCTATTTTCCATTAAATTGCTTCCTACTGTGTATCTGCCTTCTTGTGACATCCGCCATTAAAACTCCTGAATGTCTCCTATCCCCCAGACTTCTATTCATGTGAAAATAGCAGTGAATATTAGTTATGCCATGTACGCTGCTCTACACACACTACACAGCCCACGGCCCAATCACAAAAAACAAATGGAGATTTGAAGCAGTAAAAACACATTTTTAGGTTAACACATTTTTTTTACACCAAAGCTTAGTATCACATTTTTAACATCTAACAAAAAAGGAGAGGATTGGCCGGCTATAAAGGGAAGGAGGAAGATGGATTTTATTTTGTGACACTAAACAAACAATATCCTTATTATTCAGAAAAAATCCAAAACACATCCTCTAGTTCATAGCCCTGTAATAATCTATTTTTTATTAAATAATTTCTTACTGTGTTTTTCTGCTTCCTTATTACATCCTCCATGAGCTCCCATACCTATGCTCCCCCCCCCCACTTGTTTGTTTGAAACAAGCATGCGCACTAGTTGTGATCATACGCACTGTTCTATGCACACTGCAAATCCCATAGCCTATTTCAGCTTCTGGTGCAGTAAAAAAAGAGAAAATGCTGCATTTTGTTCTAAACAGAACCATACTGGAACATGGCAAACTGCATCAAAACTGCACCGCACAACAGAGTGTGGTGTGAACTGTAAGCAAAAACGTATCCGGAATGCATGGAGAGTGCGTTTTGTGGTGTGAACTGGCCCTACACGAGATCTTTATCTTTCAGAAATAAGAAATACACATCCACTAGTTAACACTCCAGTCATCTATTTTTTGTGCAGCATTTGCTTTCAGTTCTGCGGTCTCAGATTTGTGCATGAAAGAATAAAGCCGTACCGTCTGGATTATTGGCGGTTGTCAGCAGCATCAGGAGTGAGGTAAGTGAGTCAGGTAGATTGTGGAAATATCTCATCCACTCGATGTCCAATCTGGAATCTTGCAAGCAACCCAGAACCTAGAAATAACGATCATAAAAATGATTTAGATGGTGCAACCATTGTACACAGCAAATGTCAAAATGTCAGCATTATAAAATAAAGGTGTGAGAAAAAAACTTTCTAGCCAATAAACACCCACCACCAGGGACACAATTCCAACATTTGAATTTCGGGCTCTAAATGCTGATGGATCTAATCTACTGGCCACATTGTCTAACATTCATCAGATACAACACTGTCATATCCCTAACTAGGGATGCAAGTGTGATATCGATACTGTCGGTCAAGTACTCGCCGTTACCAATTACCGATACTTTGCTATGCCATTGGCGTCCATACAGAATGTATGGACGCAAATTGCACCGCAAAGAATAGCATGCAATTCAAACAGGAATGCGATTCCTGTCCAAATCGCATGTGGTTTCCCCACTGCTCATGTGTGAACCCAGGCAGTCGTATCCTGAGTTCACACTGGAGCGGGGAGATTTCCCACAGTGGAGAATGGGAGAGTGGGCGTGTGGGGATGTATACTATGGTAGCAGATGGTAGGAGAGGAGAGGAAGCCGCGGAGATTTCAAATCTTCAGACCTGTGAAGCTGCTTGCTCTCTCCTTTCCTTGCAGGTATGACAGTTCGGGCTAGAGAGATTTTGATTGGTCAGCACCGTTACCTGAACGATGCTGACCAATCAGATGGCGTCTAGCCCATACTGACATCCCTGCATAGAGAGGAGAGAAAGCAGCTTCACAGGTCTGAAGATTTGAAATCTCTGTGAGTTCCTCTCCTCTCCTTGCAGCGATGACAGTAGGGGCTAGACAGCATCCGATTGGTCAGCACCCTCTCCATCTGAAAATATTCTTTATGGAGCATGGAGACAGCGCTGCAGTGGTAATTATGCATGGCCGTAAATTATGCTTTTTTTTTTTCGTTCAACTAGCAGGCTGAACGAAAAAAAAAAAACTGGATTCCCCTGTTAATATAGTTTGTGTTGATGGGGGATTCGCTCTCATGAAGCCAGTTTTATTCTGACAGTGGGGAGACTTTCCCACTGTCAGAATACAATGATCAGTGTTGCCCGTGTCACTGATCGAGCAAATAAAACACAACAGGCTGGTGGTACAGAAGTCAATCGAGTGACCGACTTCTATACCACCAGCCAGCCCATACAGTAGATGGATCGAAATTCTGCTGGTCCATGCTGAACTTCGATCCATCTATGGACAACCTATGGTTCACAGGTTTCCAATCTCTCTTCTAGAAACTTGAACGCAGATATAAAAAAAACAAATAATGCAGTTATGTTATAATCAAAAGTAATTAAAATATGTTATAAATACTAGTACAAGTACTGGCATTTTACTTGGCACCATCCTCCTGCAAACCCCTGTACAGTAGATCACAGGGTGGGAAAGTGAGGGGTAGCATTAGTGGCCAATCAGGAGTGTGCCGACAAGGATCTTGCTGACAAGGCGAGAACAAAGAGATGAACTCATCGGCCTATCGTTGCCCTTCCTCTGTCCAATCACAGGCTTGCAGTGGAGAGGTGACAAAGCTGTATTGCTATGTTGTAGTACATGAATGTCAACACAACAACCTAACTCCACTGTCTGGCAGGGCTGCATAAACTTCTGCACCCGACAAATACAAATCATCTTTAGCAGTTTGTCTGGAGGACAAAAAAACAAAACAGAAAAATAAAAACTTTCAAGATAAAAAAAATTAAATGTTGCTGCAGTTTGTATGTCCATTACCTCTCTGCACACAAAGCATAACCACTTGCCCTCCAGAGGATTTACCCCCCTTCCTGACCAGGCTATTTTTTGGGTTACTGTAACTGACAATTGCGCAGTCATGCAACGCTGCACCCAAAATTACATTTTCTCCCATGAATAGAGCTTTCTCTTTCGGTGGTATTTGATCGCCTGTGCGTTTTTTATTTTTTGCGCTATAAAAAAAAAAAAAAAAAAAAAACAGACAATTTGGAGGAAAAAAAACTTTATTTTTGACTTTTTGCTATGAAACATGTCCAGTAAAAAAAAGTTAAAAAAAAAATCAAATTTCATCATAAATTTAGGCCAAAATGTCTTTGCTAAAATAAATCCCAATAAGTGCAAATGAATTGGTTTACGTGAAAGTTATAGCGTTTACAAATGGCGGTATATATACATTGAGATTTTTTTTTTCTTACTAGTAATGGCGGCGATCAGCAACTTATAGAGGGACTGCGGAGGACATTCTGACACTGGGGGGAACTGACTTGATGTCACTGACATTCCCAGTGACACCAACACAGTGATCAGTACTAATAAAAAGCACTGACCCTGACCGGGACCCGGTGATTGACAGCCAAGGCTGCGAATAGTGGCGAGGGTAGGGGCGCACGTCCTCTACCCGGAAATGCAAAATCACACATACAGATACACACGCAATATATATATATATATATGTGTGTGTAGGTGAATTGGACCCTGTCTAAATTGGCCCTAGTATGTGTATGTATGAATGTGAGTTAGGGACCTTAGATTTGTACGCCCCTTGAGGGTTAGGGACTGATGTGAATGTACATATATATGTAAAGCGCTGCGTAAATTGACGGCGCTATAAAAGGACCTGAAAAAAATACATACATACACACACATGATTTTGCGCACCACTGCTGGAGATATTTTTTGGTGGTATTTGCATTTTTTTATTTTTTTTGCTATAAAAAAAAAAAGACTGACAATTTAAAAAAAAAACAAAAACCAGTATTTTTTACTTTTTGCTAGGTGAGGGTGAGGGACACAGTTGTGGTCTGACCCCATTGAACATGACATGTTGTTTAACCACTTGCCCTCCAGGGGATTTACCCCCCTTCCTGACCAGGCCATTTTCACGATACGGCGCTGCGTTGCTTTAACTGACAATTGCGCAGTTATGCAGCACTGCACTCAAATGAAATGTATGTCCTTTTTTTCCCCCACAAATTGAGCTTTCTTTCGGTGGTATTTGATCGCCTGTGCGTTTTTTATTTTTGCGCTATAAAAAAAAAAGACTGACAATTTTGAAGAAAAAAAAAAAAAAAAACAATATTTTTTACTTTTTGCTATAAAAAATACCCAATAAATAAAAAAAAAAAAAAAATAAAATTTCTTCATAAATTTAGGCCAAAATGTATTCTGCTACATGTCTTTACTAAAAAAAATCCCAATAACTGTATATTTGGTTTACGTGAAAGTTATAGCATCTACAAGTGACGGTATATATATGCTGGAATTTTTTTTTTTTTTTTATGCTAGTAATGGCGGCAATCGGTGACTTATAGCGGGACTTCGGTGGGCATTCTGATACTGGGTGGGAACTGAATAACTGCCACTGACATCTCCAGTGACACTAATACAGTGAACTGTGCTAATAAAAAGCACTGACACTGTACTAATGACACTGGGCAGGAAGGGGTTAACATCTGGGGCGATCAAAGGGTTAACTGTGTGCTGTGTGTGTTTTTACTACGTATGCTGTGTTTTTTACTTGGGAGACATGCTGCTTTGTATCTCTCTGCTGTGCAGAGAGATACAAAGCAGCATGTCCATATTGACAGGAGAGAGATCTGTGTTTACACACAGATCTCTCCCCTCTCAGCCCTGCTGACAATCACCAAGTCTCGGCTAGGAATCGCCGGCTGGGAACCGGTGATTGACATATCCAGCAGCCAATGACCTCCTTTATTGTATACTCTTTGTAAAATCAATGACAGTGCAGCAGGATGAAAGACTACCCCTAACATGTTTTATGCCAACCAGCGCCCTATGAGTAAGCGTTGGTTGGCGTGAAGCAAGCTAGAGTAGTCTTGTTCATCCTGCTGCATTGTAATTCATTTATGAAGAGTCTACAATCAAAGTTAATGTTGTTTACCGGTCATGCAGTCATCTGATTTTCTCCATGCCTCAAGTTTACAGTGGAGAACTGGATTAGCAGCTGGGATTTTGGGCAGAGAGAGGTGGACGGACCCGGAGCAGGATTGTATAGTAAATATGGGAGCGCTGTGCAGAATAATATGAGCCCTGTTTACATTAGGTGAACAGAAGCTTGCTGGTGGGTGAAAGTGACCAGGACCGTTCATGAAGCGCAGTGCTACTCGCACATGTGCAGCGGGTACCCGGATGTGAAGCCGCAAGCTGTCACAGCCGGGTGCCCAATCTGAAGATGCCGGCACCTGGAACACAGGACGGCCGGTGAAACGGGCTACAGGGGACACACAATGGGACCGAGGGACACAGGTAAAGTGGCTGTTTTTTAAAAGTCAGCAGCTTCAGTTTTTGTAGCTGCTGACTTATTTTTGGACAGGGTGAGTGGAACTCCGCTTTAATGCATAAAATCCATTAAGTTAAAAACCCTTGAGGATTTAGAACTACTTTAATGCCTGAACTCAGCTGCTGCAACTAGAAAATGAGACAGAACACTGCACATGCACGTAGATTGAACCTTGTAGCACCCATGCTACAACTGTGCGCCCACTATGGGGTGCGCACATGTAGCATGCAGCCAGTTCTGCAAACAGCAGGATGGAGGGGGATCAAGGGGCCACAGGTTTCTGTAGAAAAGACCCCTAATGCATATGTAAAGGAAACCAAGAGCAGCATTTTAAAATGAGGACCACTGGTAGGTTCCATTCAAGGAATCTGGAATTGCATACAGGAGAATTGTTGTTCAAAGTTACTAAAGGCGAACATTCACTTTATTAGACTTTCAGTTTGATGACAGGTTTACACCATGCCCAGAGCTGAATTGCACAAGAAAGCGCTCTGCATTCCTGTGCGGTGTGAATTCAAGGCCATGAATTTTGAATGGGCTAAAGTCGCACTGCACTGTGCCACACTGGGGTATATTTACTAAAGCTTGGGAGTGCAAAATCAGGCTCACTTCTGCATAGAAACCAATCAGCTTCTAACCTCAGCTTGTTCAATTAAGGTTTGGCAATAAAACCTGGAAGCAGACTGGTTTCTATGCAGAAGTCAGCCTGATTTTGCACTCCCCAGCTTTAATAAATAAGCCCACTGTAACCAGATCACATGGTACAAAAGTACCATGCAATCTGGTGCGGGCAAACACACTGCATTTGTGACCGGCACTTGGGGTGTCATTAAATTTCTATTGACACCCGCTGCAGATTGCAAAAGCTGTATGTTTTGCATCTAGGTTTAATTGCAAAGGAAAGCACAGCACGTTCCTGCGTGATTCAGATGTGGGCATGTGAGAACCGGCCTTAATAGCCTGTTTTTGGTGTATAATACGTATAAATTCTAGGTCAGCCGGACAGTAATGGTTATTACCTGTACAGAAAGGTCAGTAAAGTCAGTGCGGTAACGCACGTTTGATGTTACAGTTAGAGATGAGGGCTTCTCAAAAAAGGCAAAAGCAAAATTCACAAATATGGTGACATACAGGATCCTTAAAAAGTAAGCAATAATAGATAATAAAATAAATACAACTTTACAGCAGAGATGTGTTATTCATTGGAGGGATTAGATAAAAGTCAAATGTCCCCAGACATCCCAGGATGTAGAAAACACCTCCAGAGGCTTTGCTTCTGGTATTTCAAAATAAAATCCAAGGACAGGCAGAAGAGGCAGTTCTACCTTCAACCATGGACTGCACTACAGGGTTTTCAACTCCAGTTACTGGAAATATCCCACTTTTTATCAAATAAAATAAGAGTTAAAAGGCAAACGTTACCTGTGTCTTTTGACAGATATACCCAGTAAATATTTTACCATTGCAGTACCTCTAGCATCTCCCCTGCAACCTTCATACAGTCTATAGCCCCTTTAGAGTCTCCCTGCCTGCCACCTACAGATTATAGCCCCTCTAGTATCTCCCTTCGTGCCACCTACACCTCTATATACTCTCTAGTATCTCCCTCCATGCCCCATACACCCTCTATATTCTCTCTAGCATCTCCCTCCATGCCCCATACACCCCTCTATATCAGTGGTGGCGAACCCGTGGCACGCGTACCAGCCTTATCTGTGGGCACGCCAGGAGAATCCAGCGGCGCGCTGTCTTCCCGGCTGTATTGCGTGACAGCCGGGTCCCAAGTGCGCATGCACAAGAAGCAGTGCTCCTTGTGAATGGTAAGGCGGTACCTGGGACACATGACAGATAAGCCGCCGGAAATCACAAAGCGCAGCGCTTCTCGCGCATGCGCACTGGGCATCCGGCTGTCCGACCCCCACACTACAGAAGCCGGGAAGACACGCGCGGCTGGATCAGGAACAGGTAAGATAAAAAAAAAAAAAACTCTGCGGAAGTAAGAGCGGGTACCTAGTCAAATTCAGGTTGCCCCTCCCTCCCCAAAGGTCAGCAGTCATCCCTGTGCTGTCCGCAGTCTCTGGTCATCTCCTGTACTGTCCGCAGTCTCTGCATCCCTGTGCTGTGTCCCCATCTCTGGTCATCCCTGTGCTGTGTCCCCAGTCTCTGGTCATCCTGTGCTGTGCTCCATCAGTCATATATAATTTATACCCAGTCTCTGGTCATCCCTGTGCTGTGTCCCCAGTCTCTGGTCATCCCTGTGCCCCCAGTCTCTGGTCATCTCCTGTGCTTGTCCCCAGGTGGGTCCCCTGTGCTGTGTCCCCAGTAGTGGTCCCCAAAGGCCGCAGTCTCTGCCATCTCCTGTACTGTGTCCTACATAAATCTGGTCATCCCTGTACTGGAACAAGTCTCTGGTCACCCTGTAATGTGACCCCAGTCTCTGGTATCCCTGTACTGTGCCTTTCTCTGGTCATCCCTGTACTGTACTCTGGTCATCCCTGTACTTGTCCGCATCTCTGGTCATCCCCCACATGGCAGTCTCTGGTCATCCCTGTACTGTGTCCTCCTGGTCATCCCTGTACTGTTAATTAGTTTGCACTACTGTACGAGTTGTTTTTTCTAAACCAAAAGCTCGATATTCAGGTTTCATTGCAGACCACCTTCAGGGAAGTTTGCCTGTCATTCTAGAACCGTGGCCACTCTGCACCTCCTTCCCACCACCACCTACAGGAGGTCACACAGAGGATGGCTCTCTGATCCAGTTTGCCGTTGTGTTTTGCACTGCAGACCCTATGCAAATCCAGGTCTGCCAGGATTGCCTCCATGTAACAGGATTTGAGAATGGTGACTCGCTCATGATAGCAAATAATGCATTGTGGGAAGGCAGGGGGTATAGCCATGTGTTTTTATACCTGGAAGTACTGGGATTTTCACTGGTGTGGATATGGGAGGTGGACAGGAACTAGGAAGGTAATTAATCACTTCCCGTGCGGCCCATGTATATAAACGGCCAGACGGGAGCAGTGCAGGGGTGGGTGGCCGATTATAATCCTCCCCCCCTCCTCCCTGCTTGTGTGCACCCAGCACCGCGATTGTTGTACGGGACGTCTGTGTGACGATCACGTGATCACTGATTGGCCAATCAGTGATCACATGAAGAGTAGTAAGCAAGATGTCATTTCTGACATCATTGCTTACTACGTGTGAAATCTGTGAATGATCACAGAGGTCACATGGTACAAGGCTATTCACAACAGCCTTGTACCATGTGACAAGCTGTGACCAATCACAGCTCACACAGTATTTCTCAATGGCTGCAAGAATGCAGCCAGAGAGAGAGTAGAAATTATTGCTTTTACAGCCTTTATGGGTGTAAAAGCAATCAGTGTAAAAAAAAAAAAAAAAAATCTTCACCACCCCCCACAAGTAGTACAGTGTACCATAGTGACTTGTACTACTTGTGGGGTGGGGGTGATGAAGATTTTTTTTTTTTTTTTACTGCTAGGGTGACAGTATGTTGACAAAAAAAAAAAAAAAAAATAATAATAAAAAAAAAATAAAAATGTAAAAAAAAGTTTTTGAAAAATTATAATAATTTTTGGTTATAAAAACTAATTTGGGTTATTTTTTTTTTACTAAAAAGATAACTGAATAAATTTTGGCCAAGATTTATGAAGAAAGATTATTTATTTTTTTTTCAAAATTTTTGGACTTTTTCATTTATATAGCAAAAAAAAAAAAAAAATCCCAGTGGTGAATAAAACACCACCAAAATAAAAAGTTTTATTCGTCTCAAAAAAATGCTAAAAAATTCATATGGGTACAGTGTTGCATGACCGCGCAATTTGTCATTCAAAGTGTGATAGCACTGAAAGCTGAAAATTGGCCTGGACAGACAGGAAGGGGGTAAAAGTGTCCAGACTTGAAGTGGTTAAAAGGCATTTACCAGAATTTTTTTTTACTATTTAACTATTTTAAAATTCTTTTTACTATTTAAAAAAAACTAGGAAAAAGTGTTATTCCTGCCAAAACCTTTTTTCCAAAGAAGGTGGGATGCAGTTAGGATCTCTGTCTGTGCCCACTGCAGGGGAGATTCCTCCTCCCTACATGTTTCAAAGGAACAGGAAGTGAACGGAATCTCTCTAGGGACGCATCAGCAAATAAAACCACTTTATTCATAGAAGGGGAAGTGTTAGAACCTCTGTGATTTTTTTTTTTCTTGCCTTCATATAGTATAAACGTTAGCTGGGTATACACAGTCTTTTTTCAAGCAACCAGCTGGTTGAATGGGAAAAAAAAAAAAAAAAAAAAAAAAAAGCCAAAAAACAACTTCCCAAATCCCAGCATGCACACAAGTGAGGGATACACACGTACTGAGATATGGGCAGTTCCTGCTGGACAGGAGGAATTTCAATACGCATATACCCTGCTTTACTCTCCTCATTTCCTATGTGGGTTAAGTGAAATTTCCTTGATAAATGTCAATAGAAACTCAACACAGATGTCCTAACACTTCCACTTGCAAAAACAATAGAAAAAATGATTTTGTTTGAAGATTCACCTAAAATCCATCTCATTTATTACTGTGCCGGAACCACAGCCCACAGAGGATGCCAGTGAATAATGGAGATGTGGACATGGAAGGATTGTGTACCATGTATTGCCTATAGCCAACACACAGCAAGTATTTATACAGCAATAAATGAAAAATAAAAGCTTACTTACTACTGGCACAGATCAGAATAATCCCAGCAATAGAGCTGCAGAGAATACAGATCAACACGATGGTCTATGGAGCGATTCTGCGAACAGAAAGAACTGGTTACCTGCAAAAGACACCTGGCAATTAGACCCCTGATGTCTCCCCTGCCCTTCACTGAAGCCAATGAAGCGCAGATCGCGCAGTGCGAGTCTGAGGTTCAAAGGTGGAAAACTGGAACCCGGGAAACATAGTGGAGGTGGTAGGGGAATTGGATTGGTGCCATTAACGGGGGCCCATGAAAGTGATCCATCAGCTGTACACATCTCCACCAGATCGCTTTCTACCTGACAAGCTGAAAATCGGCTTGTTAAAGATGCGGATGCTACAGCACCTGGAAACTGTGTAAAACCCTCTGCTGCTGCAGACATATGCCATACAGGGCGTGAGTGGAAGCAATAGGGATTCAATAAAGTCCTAAAAGGCTACGTTTTTTCACCTTTCTGACCAGATTTCATATTAAATCTATATTTAAGGTGTAACATAACATATTGTCACCTTCATTTCTCCAAGTGACCCCCCCATCCTGAAACTGCACCCCTGACGTCACCGGAACCACAGGATGCTTCTACATGCACAAAAAAAAACCAAAGATACAAATATCCAGGGATTGTTGTTTCCAAGTGCAATTAACGTTCACACATACTATGCACCTCACAATTTTCACATTTGTGGCATGACCCCCTTTTCCAAGTCTTGAAAAAAGACATGAAAAGGGGGCCAACACTGTACCAGAAAACAGGCCTCAGCGATTCAAACCGTGGCCTCCACCCTCCTCTTCCCAAGCTAGCAGTGCCAGCTTTGTCCATAGCTGTGGCACATGCAGGGTCCCCCGCACCTTCCGCAAGCAGTGCGCTGAGCCTGACTGAAACTGGTGTTCTGGTCCTCCCTCTGAAAACCCACTGGTTTTGTCACACTTTGGATAGGACACTTCATGTGCCAGCATGGGTACCCCCAGACAAGTGTGGATGCATAAGGAGGCACAAGGCACGAGAGTTCCTCACAGAGATCTGCGATTTTGATATTGTATTATGTAATATGGTTCATTATTAAAAGATTCATTGCACTAGGGCACATGTGTGCTTTTGTCTATTTTTTGTTTATGCTTCTACCTGAGGCTGTTTGAGTTTGATTTAGGTGCAGCTGTGTATTGCTCTTGACTAGGCAGTTATGTATCAAGTGTCCCTGCAGGGCAGACTCTCTCGATGTCTATTTCTTTGACAGTGTGTCGCATTGTAACATGTGCTGACGCAGCGGACTTTAGTCCCTTCGCCAAGAGATTCGCTATCTATGCCTTGTCTCTTGTTTTAACCCGAGATATCAATCTACATCTGTTATCCGAATGCGAATACTCATAATCAGGTATCGCGCTGTTGCAACCGCTCATAACATTGATCAAGAACATGTGCAGGGAGATGATATAAGCAGAGTATAGCCAGCTTTCAAATTGTCGGCAGATTGCAGGCCAGCACACCTTGTTCCTGTGTTTTTCGATGGTTGTAAAAGTCTCTAGTATGACTGTGTTATTGGTGATTGTGGTATGTATCTGTTGATGAATGGATGGCTGTATGTCTTGTGACCTCAATGACTGTCACGCGCTCTCCCCTCTAACCATCGTGCTTTGCTAGACGTGTGAGGTGGGGAAAAAGCCGTCTCTGCTATGAAATGAGAGACCAAAGACTGAACCAATCCGAGGACACGATAGCTGTTTCTATGAAGGTATGTTGTGTTACTCATTGACTGCGTAGAACGATGATCAATGGCTTACGTTAGGTGCCGTGGCTGTGATAAACCTCGATAATGTAATCGCATTTTTTGAAGTACCAGCTCATGAAATCGGCATGGAGCGCGTTATAGTGTCCCCTGTTAACTGGCAGCTAGAACATATATGCCCTTATAGTAGCACTTACCACCTGGCCACGGGTCCACGACGGTAGCCTTCTTCCGGGACCTAATTAGGCCTTTCCCGCTAATATACACCGTTAGTATGAACTCATAGAATGTTTCCTGTAAATCCTTTTCTAGAGTAGAATATGTGCCATTTACCGATTTCTAAGCCAAACTGGGAGTCCATGAGACCTAGACTCTAAGATAGCCCTCTGCACTTCGACGCGAACACTGGTATAATGTGATGACCGCCCAGTCCTATCACGGCCTCCGGAAGATGTATGTAGAATTCAAGAGATCTTACTGTTGCATGTGTGATTCTTAGATCCCGCCTATGCTATGTGATGTCGGTTACTGCTTTTGTCGGTTGAAGCTGAGACTATGTCCATCCTTCGACGTCCTCCATCGCTCACCCTTCCACTCGTGTGCGCCAGTGGATATTGTTACCTGGTCGCAGGTCAAGAACTGGCGATGTCGTGGAAACCTGCATAATGACCTGGCAGGCAGAGGTACGTTGGAGAATCCAAGCAGTCTCAAGCAATTTCGACATCCCTTTCCTCTATGTTGTTATTAGGGGTGCTAGAATTGCTTTCTCAAGTTTCAGTGACGGAACTAGTCGCCGGAGCATCAGAGTCCCATATTTTTTTTTGTTCAAGATATGTTTTAGCCATGTTGGGTCTATTTTTTGATGTTATTTTCAAGTGTGTCCGCACACTTAATCCGCCCACAGTTAGTGTGTCGACTGTACCATGCGTATTTGTGGTTTTCTTTGCTGTGCTGGAAATGTGTGTTCTTGCATGCGTTTCTGCACCACCAATGGTCGTGTGAACAAAGTCCTAAGGGCTGGTTCACACTATAGAAAAACAGTCTAGATGTGTTCCTGATGGGTTTTTTTCATGCCCTTTTGGCATGCAT